GGTGGAGGGGACTCCCCAATAATATGTGAAATGAACGTTACCGAAGTGACTTGACATTTATGTAGTTGATGACAAATAACCTCGTTAACTTTGTTACATTATGATTTCTTATTACTGCGTTAAAACGCTTCATTGAAATGAATTAATTGTCAATAATTGCTTTTTTTTTCAATATTTACTTACATATTATTACAAGTTTGAAATGTACGTTACCTACTCATATTCTGAGGCAATCGTGTCTTTATAGTGGTGATTGTGACATATAACACAATGTGATTACATAGAAAAGCTATTTTGGAATAAACTGAAACAAAACAATGAATTTTTAGATGAATTTTAAGCTTTTTATCAAACAGAAATAAATCATGAAATGTACGTTATATTTACGTAGTTTTCTAAATCCACATGGATATATGTCAGTAACTACAAAATAAAATTTTACATCATGTACATGTTAAGTTCCAGTATCTATAGAAAATGACAAAATTCCAAACTGATCGCTATATAAACAAAACAGAGAGAAGAATTTAAAGCATATATTATAAAAAAAATGTTTTTATACATCTGGATCAAAAAGTACATGTAACCCGTGTTTTTTGAAAGGAAAAATCAAACGCACGTTCAAATGCCGAGAGAATATGTTGCTGACAGAGTTGGTAGGATGTGCTGGTGTTAAGATGAGATATTCCAACTGTGATTTTTAATGACTACATTTTTTCTGTAGACCTTTTTAGACATTGCAGAAAGAGTAACGTACATTTCCAGCTACATTTCTGAATAAAATCATCCCCTACTTCATTATTCCATGTATTAAAATTTGATGAAAAGAAAACTTGTAACAAAATCTTCAGATGCTTTCTTTCAAAGGTAATTGATAGAAAAATTGTTATCTTGAACTTCATTTTTTTAAAAATCAGAGAGGCATTTGTGCCCTTATATTGAGAATGGGTGGTATATTTATCCACCTCGGTCGCCAACCATTTATAATTGTCTCTACAGACAATAAACTCGCTTGAAGTGAATTTTCAACAATCTAACAAAGAATTTTAATCAAATTAGTTTATCACTTGTAGAGACGACTATAAAGGGTTGGGAGATGGAAGGTAAATGAAAGGTAGGTAATTTACCAATGCTAGGTGGTTGAGAAATTCTCCCCAAAAGTGCGCAAAAATATTGTGCCGTAAATTGCACCTTTTTTGCATCTGTAGCGTTATGGTCAAAGACAAATATATAAAACCATAACGCTACACTCTGATCTGCAGCTAAGAGTAATTTGTGTTATAAACAATGGCGACGTATCAACCTTATGCCTTTAAATTAGCTTATTAGAATCCTACACTCTTGAACCATTTTGTTAATTAAATATATCATGGCTAATGTAAATGTTGAAATGTTTCGGAGGTTATTATAAACTTGTCTTTTAAAATTAATGAACGAAGTAAGCATGCATGGTTTAAATTTTAGTTACCATGGCAACATCAATCATCAAAATTATGTATCTCAGTGTAGTCAACTTGCATGCCAAATTATATTAAAATCAGACTAAAACTGTATTTGGAGTAGCATTTTCAGAGTATTTCACAGAAATTTTTATTGTTAGTAACCAAGGCAACATCATTCATCGAAATCAAAAACTGATATATACAGAATTATGTATATTAGTGTAGTTTACTTGTGTGTCAAGTTATATTGAAATCAGACCAGAACTGTTGAAGGAGTAGCATTTTAAAAGTATTTCACAGAAATTTCTATTTTTAAGTAACCACAGCAACACAGTTCATTGACATCAAAAACCGATACACAGAATAATGTATCTTAGTGAGTATACTTATGTGTCAATATATATAGAAATTATAAAAAAAAAATTGTAGAAGTAACATTTAAAAAGTATTTCACAGAAATATATATCTTTAGAAACCACAGCAACACTGTTCATTGAAATCTAAAACCAATATTCAGAATAGTGTATCTTAGTGTAGTCTACTTGTGTTCCAAGTTATATTGAAATCGGACCAAAACTATAGGAGGAGTAGCATTTTAAAAGTATTTTACAGAAATTTCTCTTTTTAGTAACCACAAGAGCAACGTTCATTGAAATCAAAAAACAATACACAGAATTATGTGTCTTATTGTAGTTTATTTGTGTGCCAAGTTATATTGAAATCAGACCAAAACTGTAAGAGGAGTAGCATTTTGAAAAATTGTTTACAGACAGACAGATGGCAGATGATATCGCATAAGCTCTTCTGACCAATTGAGCTAAAAATAAACAAGAGGCCCAAAGGCCTTGAATTGCTGTTCTGATAAATTGTACAATAATCTATCACTTCTATTTGAAAACTCTAACTGAGGCTGTATCCCAAGATGCATGAACTGACAAAGTTTGATGATTCTTAGCCAGTTAGGACTGAAGATATTTCAGTATAGCTACACAAGAGGCCCAGGGGCCACAGTGCTCACCTGAGCACATCAGCTAGGAAAAAGCACAAATCAGATCAGAACAGAGTTTACTGAGTGGGAGGGGGGGGGGAGGGCTTGAATTATAACCCCCCAGAGGGTTATGATTTGAACAAACTAGAATCTACACTACCTGAGGATGATTCCATATAAATATCACTAATCATGGCTTTGAAGTACTTGATAAAGAAGATTTTAAAAGGTTTCCCTATATATCCCTATGTAAAACATTGGTCGGCCATTTTGGCCCCACTTTAGCCCAGGGGGGTCATGATTTGAACAAACTTGAATCTACACTACCTGAGGATGATTTCACATGAGTTTCATCTTTCCTGGCCCAGTGGTTCTTGAGAAGAAGATTTTTAAAGATTTTTCCTATATATTCCTATGTTAAACTTTGGTCGGCCATTTTGGCCCCACCCTAGCCCCGAGGGGTCATGATTTGAACAAACTTGAATCTACACCACCTGAGGATGATTCCACATGAGTTTCATCTTTCCTGGCCCAGTGGTTCTTGAGAAGAAGATATTTAAAGATTTTTCCTATATATTCCTATGTAAAACTTTGGTCGGCCATTTTGGCCACACCCTATCCCCGGGGGTCATGATTTGAAGAAACATGAATCTACACTACCTGAGGATGATTCCACGTGAGTTTCATCTTTCCTGGCCCAGTGGTTCTTGAGAAGAAGATTTTTTAACAATGCCATTAATTTTTCTCTAATTCATAATTATCTCCCCTTGGGAAAGGCCTTGGCCCTTCATTTGAACAAACTTGAATCCCCTTTACCCAAAGATACTTTGTAGCAAGTTTGGTTGAAATTGGCCCAATGGTTCTTGAGAAGAAGATGAAAATGTGAAAAGTTTACAACGACAACGACGACAACGACGACGACAATGACAACAACGACAGACAATGGACAAATTTGATCAGAAAAGCTCACTTGAGCCTTCGGCTCAGGTGAGCTAAAAATACCATAAGTAGGTCACAGTGACCTACTTCCTGATACAAAATTTTCTGTGGACGCAAGATGCATTAATTGACAAAGATTGATGATTCTCAGCCAATAACTACCTGAGATATTCAAAAGTAGGTCACTTTGACCTTCTTTACAGTCAAAGATGCATCAATTGACAAAGTTTGACAATTCTAAGCCATAAGTACCCATTATACTTAAATGAAGCCATAAAATGTCGCAAGTAGGTCAATGTGACCTACTTTTTAGACAACGTTCTTCAAAAACCCAAAATGCATAAATTGACAAAATTTGATAATTCTAAGCCAATAAGTACCTGAGATAATTAAAAATAGGTCATTGTGACATTCTCCGAAAAAAAAAATAAGATGCCTTAACTGACATAGTTTAACAACTCTAGGCCAATAAGTACCCGAGATACTTAAATATAGCCATAAAATGTCAAAAGTAGGTCACTTTGACCTACTTTTTGGTCGACATTTTTTGAAGACCCAAAATGCATTAACTGACAAAATTTGATGATCATAGGTCCAAAAGTATTCAAAATATCTTTTAAACAACTTGAAAACAAATGCCCACAAAATTCAAAAAATAGGTCATAGTGACCAACCTTTTCATGTTTTAAGGTCCCAAGATGCATTAACTTACAAGATTTGGTGATTCTAAACATCTCAGTGTCTGAAATAATGGGATTTAATGTTTTAGAAAAGATTAGCCATAAATTCAAAAAGTAGGCCACAGTGACCTACTTTTAAAAAGATATTGTTTGAGGACCCAAGATACATCAACTGACAAAGTTTGATGATCATAGGCCTTAAAGTGTCCTAAATATGCCTCCAAATTAATTTGATTAAGAAAGCCCATGAAATTTTAAAAATAGGTCACAGTGACCTACTTTTGTGTTTTAACATGATGTGAAGTCCTAAGATGCATCAACTTTAAAGATTTGATGATCCTAGTCATTATAGAAAGCAAAATAACGTTTTTATTAAGTGTAAATTTTGGTCAACTTTGAAGTGACCTTGAGACCACGCCCTTTGCCCCAGGTTTATGCCTTGAACAATTTTTAATCTTCGACATATCCTGACACTTATATGTAAAGAAGATTTTTTAGCAACCAATACTTTTAGTTTTATTTTCCTGCTTATCTCCCCTTGTTTTAAGGTCCCACCCCTAGTTTTAGTATAAATGGTAGCCACTGGGCCAAGGATACAATGTGATAAATTTGAAAATGATTGGCCCAGGGGTTCTTGAGTTGGGGCCCATTTTCTAAAAAGTTTACGCACATGGCACAAATGGCTATAGCATTAGCTCTTTGAGCCTTTGGCTCAGATCTAAAAAGAAACATCTGTAAAATTCAGAAAAATCATCCAATTATGATGAAAATACCAGATGCCAGTTTTATTTAGGTGAATAATAAGTATACAGATTTTCAGACAAATCCCTCCAATAGTTTCTGAGAAATGGTTCTTGTCTACAGACAGAGGGACAGATGGACAAGCTGATTCCAATATACCCCCCTAAACTTTGTTTGCGGTGGGAATAATAAATATAAGTTGCATTTTACCTTATTCAAATTTAAATTCCTTTTTGTATGCCATAAGGGTATTTTTGGTCAGCATTGCAACAGTCATTGGTCCAACTCCTCCAGGCACTGGAGTAATAAAACCAGCTTTCTTTGCTACATCTGCATTTAGAAAAACATAGGTAATCAGAGATTACAGAGCTCACCTCAACGAATGTTGTCTTTAAGTAAGGCAATGTCACAAAATTACCCAACAAAAAGTGTACATCTAAAAATGCAAAATTTATGCAATTTTGATCTAAAACTTTGGAATAGACCTATATAAAAACTTCAAACTAGTTCTTCATCACGAAAATGTGATCAAAATCCAGCATCTGAAGCAAGCTAGTTTAAGAGTTTTCATCCCTTGATGCATCATTTGGGCAAGTTTGGTTTATTTAAGCCTTATAGTGTCTTGGTGATAGACTTCCACCCATAACTTTTACCTGGTCTATTATCTGGAAATGTATGTCTAATTCAGCATCCGGAGCAAGTCCATTATTATGCATCCTAAGATGCACAACATATGGCTAATAGTTACTTAGAAATGAAACCTGCATAAAAATTTAACCTTTTCACTCATCCAGAAAAAAATGTAGGTCAGATTCAGCATCTGAAGCCAGCCTTGTAGAATGCAACCTTAGATGTATCATCCATGCAAGTTTGGTCATTAAAGAGCTCATAGTTACTTGGAAATGAATCCTGCATCAAAAACTTTAACCTGTTCACTCATCCAGAAAATGTAGGTCAGATTCAGCATCCGAAGCAAGTCTGGTAGTATGCATCCTAAGATGTATCATCCATGCAAGTTTAGTCGTTGTAGGGCTCATTGTAACTTGGAAATGAAACCTGCCTGAAAAACTTTAACCTGTTCACTCATCCAGAAAATGTAGGTCAGATTCAGCATCCGAAGCAAGTCTGGTAGTATGCATCCTAAGATGTACCATCCATGCAAGTTTGGTCATTATAGGGCTCATTGTATTTTGGAAATGAACCCTGCACCAAAAGCTTTAACCTGTTCACTCAACTGGAAAATGTATGTCAGATTCAGCATCCAAAGCAAGCCTGGTAATGTGCATCCTTAGATGTACCATCCATGCAAGTTTGGTCAACATAGGGCTTATAGTTCCTTGGAAATGAGACCTATACCAAAAACTGCACCAAAAATGTTAACCTGCTCCAAAAACATTAACCTGGTCATTCCTTTGGTGAAATTGCAGCATCTGAAACTTTGACTGGTACAATGAAACACATTAGTAGCATCTTCCATGCATGTCTAATCAATATAGGACATAGAAGTACTTAAAAAGAAAACTGCTCCAAAAAACTTAACCTTAACCTGGGATGCCGACACCGACGCCGAGGGTATTACATAAGCTCCCCCAACTTCATTGAGGTGAGCTAATAAAACCAAGTCAATTGGCTACAAGGCTCACCTGATTCAATAATCCATCCAAAGATATTTTTCTTTCAAAATTTCCCAATCCAAACTTTGTAAAATAACATGTTGATTCCTTATTGTGCATTGAAATCTACCTCTATATCGAAGCTTTATTAGGGTCTTCCGTCTTCAGCGGAAGACTTTTTTATTCTTCAGTTTCTTTTTTCACTTTTATTAAGGTCTTCTGTTTTCACGGAAGACCTTAGTGATTCCACTGTTTCTTCTTATCATTAAGGTCTTCCATCTTCACGGAAGACCTTATAGTGATTCTACTGTTTCTTATTATTATTCTTATTGAGGTCTTCCGTCTCCAACGGAAGACCTTATTGTTTTTGTTTGGTTTCATTTTCCCTATTATTATTTTTTTTCTTACCGATTTTGTGCACACAATTTCTCAGAAAAGGCTCCCTCGATTTTCAATAAACTTTCAAATCTGATAGATATTCGTCTGACCCTTGTCGGAAATTTTTTAGCTAGCTCTCTAATTAAAAACAAGAGGCCCATGGGCCTTATAGGTCACCTGAGTATCATGTAGCAACTTTCCAACAATCACATTTGGTTCGTGTTTTAATCCAAAAGACATGAAATTCACAATTTTGAAAGAGGCACCATTGTTTATCATAACTATACAATAAGCATGCATACTTTGGTTACTTAATACCCAGAGGTAGATCAGAGTAACAAAAAGAAAATCCATTTCCACTTAATAACTACCAGTTGTGCACCCCAACCCACAGAAACCACTGACCCTGGGGCCACAAATTTCAAAATTTTGGAAATTCTATAAATTTTAAATTTTAATTCATCATAAATGGTTGATTAATAACAAAGAGCAGATTTCAAAGCATTACTTTATCATCAGACTACGTACCCCCCCCCCCCCACACACACACTTCGGCGGTACCCCTAACCCAGGGGCCCTGAAATAAACGATTTTGGAAGAGGTACCTTTTTACATCATAAATATGTATCTAGATCATTGGCTTAATACCAAGGAGCAAAGGAAAAGATTTCCAAAGAATTCATGCATTTTCACAATATAATCATTAGAGCCCTGACCTAACACAAGAACTGACCCAGGGCCATGAAATTCACAAATCTAAAAGAGGCATTATTCATCATCATAACTATGTACATAGTTCAATGGTTTAATACCCAGGAGCAGAAAAGAAGATTTGTAAAGAATTTACGCATTTTCACTATATAATCAATTCAGCCCCACCCTAACACCAGATCCCCTGACCCTGGGGCCATGAAATTCACAATGTTGGAAGAGGTCGCTTTATTCAACTTAACCATGTACTTGGTTAGTTTATTTAATACCCAGGAGCAGAGAAAAAGATTTTTAAAAGAATTAATGCATTTCACTATATAATCAATAGAGCCCGCCCTAACACCAGAACCCCTGACCCAGGGGCCATAAAATTCAGAATTTTTGAAGAGGCATTCTCGCTCATCATAACTTTTTACTTAGTTTGTTTGTTTAATACCCAGGAGCAGAAAAGAAGATTTGCAAAGAATAAATGCATTTTCACAATTTAACAAATAAAGCCCCGCCCTATCACCAGAACCCCAAACCCAGGGGCCATGAAATTCACAATTTTGGAAGAGGTAGCCTTATTCAACATAACTATGTACTTGGTTAGTTTATTTAATGCCCAGGAGCAGAGAAGAAGATTTTTAAAGAAATAATGCATTTTCACTATATAATCTATTTAGCCCGTACTCGCACTAGAACCCCTGACCCTGGGGCCATGAATTTCACAATTTTGGTAGAGGACTTAATGCTGATTACAATCATGCCAACAGTTTGACTGCTTGATGTCCAGGAGTATAGAAGAAGATTTTTAAAGATTGCATTAATTTTAGTGGTTTTGGTCCCACCCTTCTGGCCCCAGGGGGGGGGGGGACCAAGAAATTCACAATTTTTGTTCCCCTTCAACCACAGATACTTTGTGCCAAAATTGGTTGAAATTGGTTGAGCGGTTGCAGAGAAGAAGTTGAAAATGTTCAAATTTTAACGCATGGCGCACGACGGAGGACAAAAACAGATAGCAATAGGTCACCTGAGTTCATTGATTGATTGATTGTATGTTGTTTTATGTCCCATTCGAGAATTTTTCACTCATACAGAGACATCAAAATATAAAGTAAAACTCGGTTAAAACAAAGTCACTGGGACCTATGAAATTACTTCGTATATCCGTAATTTGTTATATCCATATGAGGAATTCATTAAATTTATATAGCTGGGGATCCAAAGTAAATTCGCTATATCTGTGAATTCGCTATATCCGTGTTCGTACTAAACGAGTTTTTCTGTACACTGTATCAGTGAAGGGATTCAAAGTTTGATCTTTACTTCACATTGGATTTTCATGCAGGTGACTTAGGTTCAAACCAGGATGTCCAAATTTTCTTTAGCACTTTTTCAGATAGATTTTACAATTTTTTATTCAAAATCGGACGGAAAGGGAAAAGTGAAAATTGTGTAACTTTGATTTTTTACTCAAAGTACCTAAGGGACTGATACGAGTAAATGGTTGTCAAAGCTTAGCTAATGGGTATTGTTTTAGTGATGAAAAAATGAAAGTCTTGTCTAGTTCGGGGCAACATACCCTATTGCTTGCAACAGCAGACTTTCTAGTTATGTCGCCCCGAACGAAATCAGGGGCGACATATTGCGATTGTACGCATGTTTTAGTTTTCCAGGCTGTTTCTCGGAGATGGCTGGGACAATCTTCCTGAAACTTTCCTCAAAGGAGGATCACTAGTTAAGTCTTTCCGCCTTTCTGTGGAAAGACTTATTGGTTTTCTTCTGTAAATTAGGTCTTTCCACTTTTCTGTGGAAAGACCTATTGAAATGCTTATTAGGTCTTTCCACCTTTCTGTGGAAAGACCTCTTGAAATGCTTATGTTTATTAGGTCTTTCCACCTTTCTGTGGAAAGACCTCTTGAAATGCTTCTGTTTATTATTATTTTTTTTATTATTTTTCCGCTACGGACTTTTAAACCGAAAGACTTATGGAAAAACTTTTTAGTTTATGATACTGGACAATAAAAGTTATTTCGAAAAACAACCCAACGTATATGACCTATGACCCCTTACGGAGTTCTTGCCCCTTTTACGTAAAACCTTGTTATCGCTACTCCTTCGAAACCGTAAACCTTAGAAATATGAAACCTTCACTAAAGTCTACGACACATTGAGAGGACTCTGGGATCTATTCATTGCGAAAGTCTTTGGTGACCCCTTCAATGAATTATTGCCCCTGAAACTTTTTGAATTTTACAAATAATTAAAAATTTTCAAAACGAGAAGTGATATAGACATGGGACCAACTGCATAAGATTCATTGACCTTTGATCATGAAATTATTGCAAAGGTCAAAGGTCAAGGTCATTCCAAAATTGAGAAATTAAGCTCTTTTAATATCTCTTTTGTCTTTCAACATATGCTTAATGTCTATGCATCATTAATATGTACTCTTAAAACTGTTTCAAAGATTTCATTCTTGTCCCTTAAGATTGACCCTATTAAAAGTTATTGCCCCTTCTGCAAAAAACATTTTATTTGCTATTGCTCCAAAACCGTAAACCGAAAAGACATGAAAACTTCTCTAATGTTTGATGGGATTTTAGGCAAAACTTTTATATTCAAGCGCAATAGGATATGGTGACTCCTTCAATGAGTT